ATTCGAAAGTAAGTGGCGCCTACACAGAACGAAAAGTCATTCAAATACAAATCGCACCTATGGTCATCGCCTCATCAGGCATCCTATTCCTATGGTCCAGTTTGTTAAGCAAAGGATTTTATTTGTCCAAATAATTATCTTGAGTTCCTGAGAATTAAAAACACAAGCTAATGGATGAACGCCTTGCAAGACTGCCAAGAAAGGAGCGTTGGAGACGGGAGGCCAAGGGATCTTTTTCCCCCTCCAAATTTTTCAAATAGTGGAACCAAGCCTACCTATTTGTATTTATTTACACTACACAAATGCTCAAATGGCCTACGGCAGAAAAAAAAAGAAAAAGGGCTTTGATAAAGTTATTCTTGTTCATACAAAAGTGAATTGCAATCCACCACAGAATGGGTGTCATCCGTTTAATAAAGTTCATTGTCTTACCTGCAAGTTCATAGAAACTTCCGCCCCTTTTTCAGTCAAATAAGACCGGAAACACTTTCAAATGGATTCGTAGTATCTTTGTTTTGCATGTTGGGTATACAATAATCGCTATCTAGTGTATTTATATGACTTACAAGTTTGTTTTATTTGCTTTTCATCAATGTATTCTGCCCACCACTGGTATCGAAGCTCGATTTTTGGCGATATAAGCCCCTGATTTACTGCTGAGCCACCAAATTATAGAAGAAAAAACCGACATAGAAATATTTTGTTTCTCTGATGAAGGAATAGTAAATGCAATCTTCATTTTTCATTCAAAATTTCAACTGGGCTTTTTTTTTATTTTGCTTTTTCTTGTAAGTAAAGATTGGTGGCGAATGGTCAGGGATTCATGATGGAATCCCAACAACTTGAAAACTGTTAAACTAAAATAAACCTTAAGTTGAAACTAACACTGGCCTTCATCAGTACTCATTGCAAGTTTTCTAACGAATAAAATAGTTCGTGAAACATAATGTAAAACTATAATAGTAAAGTTAACCTTAATATTAAGTCAACTTACATATCAACACTAATGCATTACTCCTACAAATGCTTGGCTTGAGTGGTATCTGCTCCCATATTATTTTGGTTTTTTTCTAATACTTCGATATGGAACTAACTAATATTATTTATTAAACTTATTTTTAATTTTATGATATCAAAGAAAAGTGCGATTCAAATATAATTAAGTGATTATTTGTTTTTCTTTTCATAATTTTTCACTGTTCCATTAACTGTATACCGAAAAGTTTCGTTCATACGTGATAGACTCTTGATATTCAAGTTTAGCTTATGATAATACAAGTTACGTCAACTTTATTACTACTCCTGATCTTAAAGATTCCAGTGTGTGGCCTTACATAATACAGGTGAGACTTGCATTACTGAAACTAACATTGTTTACTATGAAATTAATTTCACTCACATACGCTTACATTTACGTAATAAAAGCATCAGAGCCACAAGATTTTACCAGCCTCTGTACAAATTAACATGTACATATCTTTAAAAAAACAATATTGTCACTTAAGTAGTAGCTTTTTGGTGATGCATTATTTTTAAACCTAAAAACATCTTTATTTTTGAGTTTAGAAATACAGAATCATCATCAAATAATTTAAAAAAGACGGAGGTTTTAGCAAAACTTTCCTTCCAACCTGCAGTTTGTTATGCTGACCACTAGGTGACACTCAACTTACGCTGTGATATTAATGATTTCTGACTTTTTTCTTATCTTAATTTTATTATATACGGTACAATGTGGCTTGAACCTAGAACCTTCCAACCTGCAGTTTGTTATGTTGACCACTAGGTGACACTCAACTTATGCTGTGATATTAATGATTTCTGACTTTTTTCTTATCTTAATTTTATTATATACGGTACAATGTGGCTTGAACCTAGAACCTTCCAACCTGCAGTTTGTTATGTTGACCACTAGGTGACACTCAACTTACGCTGTGATATTAATGATTTCTGACTTTTTTCTTATCATAATTTTATTATATACGGTACAAAATTAATTGATGTAAACGTGACTATGTCTGAAGATAAAATATTTATTAAATCCTTTTCTCTAAATGATTAATCACACACATAAGCTTCATGTTTGATTTATAAGAAGAAATATGAGGAAAAAATTTAAATATTATTATGCTGTGCGAAAACATGCAAGTCTGAAAATTAGGGGGGAAATTTTTTGGAAAGAATGTGACCACCCTCTTTAAGTCAGTTTATGCTTTATTTTCAGCAACTAATCAAGTTATAAACTACAAACTGTGGTCATATTTAACTTTTTCATTGCCACATTGATAAATGATCTCCCAGTGTCCAGTTTATTTGTACGTAAACAAACAAAGTGTGCATTTTTAGTGTTTCATTACTTATTTGAAATTGGTAGGCTGTGGTAAGTTTGAAAGGGAATAATACCATTTCTTCATGATGATGCAAAATGTCCAAACTTCCGTAGTAGTGCTCTTACATTGATGGTTAAAAAGAGATCATATTCAGTCTTTTTGGATGACAAAACGTAGTCCAGATATAAGTCTTGAATTCGTGTTGTACATTGAACTCAAAGTGACCTGTAGTGTCAGTAACCAAGGTCACATAGACTAAATCTATAATATTGATTCTTTGTTTGTTTAATCTTGTAGTATTTTCAAATTTAGTACAACATTGATACATAGTGTACCAGATCATCTATCTTTTTAAACTTCTAATGCAGCTTCTGGAAGAACAGCCAAAGGAACAGAGAGTACAATACAGAGAATCTGCCAAAGAAAAAACTGAAACAACAGTATCTGCAGTCCAGGGATCGAAAAACATAATAAAAGATACCAGTGGGAAGGAAAGGAAAAAATAAAAGAAATGACACCAGGTGAACCAGCAACGTGTCCTGTATCAGATACTGCATTCGATAAATCTCCATTCAATCCCAATTCAAAAGAATTTACTCTCAACCCCAATGCGAAGTCTTTCACACCAGTAAGTGTTTGCATTTATCATCATAAGCCTTTGTATGATAGTTAAGAATTCCTGATGTGATAATTCAACGAGTATATGAAAGTTTTAAAAAAACTGGAAAAGAAATTATTTGAACTTAAAAAACTTAAAGAAGTCTTTGTAAGTTAAAGATTGCATAGAAAACCTTACACAGTTCTCTGTGGTGTTCTCAGTACTTGTACTAACAGTAAATATGAACCTTTTGGAATCTTTTGTTTATTTTATTGACTTTAATAACTTTTGAATAGACTCACTACCCTGGGTCATTGTTTCTATGTAAAGGTGACTGTTGTTATTATTTTTATGCCTGAAGTACGGTGCAAAGCAGGACATATATATGTTTGCCTCTGTATGTTATTTCCTCCATCCCAGTTTTGTGGACAGGATATCTCAAGTTAGGATGGATGGACTTTGACCCAACATTTATAACAAATACTATATACAAAGTTCTAGACCTGATTAACTTTTAAAGGTCATGAATCAAAGATCAGTGGTACACAAATCATCCTCAACCTTGTAAACATGATGTTTCAGTACAGGATGAATGGATGTTGATCAAACTAATAGAACAGATACGTCACACAAAGTTATCGTTCCCTCTCTCTCACGAATTAATGAACATGAAAGGATTTGTATTTAATTGGAAGGATACATCAAGATGTAGAATACAAAAGTAAACATTCAGGCATATTTCAGTTTTGTGATCTTCTACGTTTGTTCTCTGATCTTATAAGTCTTGTTACTTGTAGCGAACACCACTGTCAGCAGCCACATCACCAGCTCCCTCTACTGTTCAGCATAATGGAATGCAAACTCACAGCCCTGTGGTGGCAATACCCCAACATTCTGTAGTACCTGCTATGGCTCAGCCTCCGATACCCATGCAACCCCAATATTTAATACCGTCTCCAGGTGGTATCTCGGTTACTCCTCCATGTCCACCAACAGCAGGAGTACACCAGGCTCCAAAGTTTAGAAAGCGTAAGCTTATTTTAGGTTTATTTATTTGTTGTTTTTCTCATTTTTAGAAAGAACTGTTAACTACTCTTTAAGATAATAAGTGAGGCTGTCAAAAGAATTACTTTTCCCATTCAGGAAAACAAGACACCTTGTGTATCCACAGTTGTTATCCTACGTGTAAAGTAGTATGAAATTCTGTAAAATCACTGATTTATGAGAATGGATGAACATTTGTTGTTTTAAAACACTTCAAACCTAAGTTCAATAAGAGGGAATTAAGTGAAGAGCTAGGTATGGGTTAGTGATACATGAAGTTACATAAGCAAAGTTTGTTGTCTTTTATATTAGTGTATGATCGTTTGAAGTTTGCTAGTTGAAGTGAATTTTTCTCACTGATATTTGATTTCATAAAAACTATAACCAGGAAAAGTCAATGGGTTATTGAGTTAAACTCGGGACATCATAGAGGGATGATGAAAAATAGAAAATGGGCAGTCAGAGCAAATAAATGTCATGTTAAACAGACAAGGGAAGATTGAGAATTATGTAACTATTTTCTTTAGAAATTAAGAACTCAAAACATATGAAAATTTGATTTATTAACTTCGTTTTGATGCCAAGTTTTTTTTGGAAAATTTAAAATAAGGTAGTTTGATTAAATTTGAATGTAATGCTTGGATATGGCTTGAATAGGTAATGAAGAAAAACTTTAATATAAGTTTAACATAACAGCAAATGTACAACGTTTCGACAAGGTTCTGTCATCGTCAGGTACAACGTTGTACATTTTACTTATGAACAACAAATAAACTTTTGTGCTGTTAGTTTATTCTGTTCTAAAGATCTATCAAATCTACCACTCGTGTTTTAACCTTCAGGAGACCTTACTATCAGTTAGTTATGTTGCTTCTATATCAGATAGAAACAAAACAGACTCTGGTGGTTAAGAAACTCGGCTGAGAGTTGCAGGTTTGAGTCCCTGTTACTGAACATACTCACACTTTCAGCCATGGGGGCATTATAATGTGATGGTCACTCCCACTATTCATTGATAAAAGAGTAGCCCAAAGGTTGGTGGTGTTGACTTGCTGCCTTCCCTCTAGTCTATCACTGCTAAATTATGGATGGCTAGCACAGATAGCCCTCATGTAGCTTTGTGTGAAATTCAGAATAAACAGAAACCAAACAGCAAGAAATGGTTTTCTTAATAATCTTAAATAAAGTAAAATGATCAGAGTCCTCTTATGAGGTCCTAAAATGTTAGTATTATATACTTAAGCTCTTCCAGTGACAGTGCAACTGCGACCGGAATTTTCGCCATCTGTCCAAGTAGCTGCAGCCACGGGTCAACCAATTCTAGCTCCTGCTGGTATTACAAGTCCTCCACAGCTTGCCATGCCTTATTCCTCTCCAGGAATGGTTGCAGGAGGAGGACCACCACAACCAGGCATCCCTTATGCTCAGGTAAATCATTCTGTTTCTGTTTTACTAGACTGAGAGACTTGGGGTACAATTTATTCAGATAAATTTGATTTTGGTATGAGATAGAACACTGGTACACTTTGCAGATTAAGTTTGTGTGCCCTTAGATTACCTTCTGATGTCGAATTCATGTTGTTTAATGAAAAGCTGTAAGTAATATATGCTAATATTTACAATAAAAGATTAACAGTTGTCTAAACCGAAACACAAGGGAGTAATACTATTAAAGGCAACAGCTAACTAACTAGTGGATGAAAACTACCGAGAAAAATTTGTAATTGATCGTGAATGTTTAAAATGTTGACATAATTTTGTAATAATATTTACGTAGACATGATGTGAAAATTTTCTAAATTACAGTTCTTGTGCAGCTTTGCACAAATAATCAAGACAAACAAACCAAATAACGAAATAAACTTGGAGCATAAGACATGAAACATGGAGAACTCGGCAGATAACTGAATATGGCTTTGCTATAAAACAAACAACAGCTAATGTGCATTAATCTAGAGCACTCCATTTCTTTTAAGCTTTTTCATTCTGTTCTTAAAATTCGAGATTAAGACTGTCACGGTTGCCATAAGTAAATACATTTTAGTTGACCAAATAATGTTAATTGAACTTGCACTTTCAAACATCTTATGGTTACATATTGCAAAAAAAAAAAAATTGAGCCATGTTTTATTACAGTAATGGAAAGAAACTAAATATATAATTTTTTTGTGCCTTTTAAATGTGAATGAATTTTTGGTTATTATTATTATTATTACAAATCTAAATATCTCGGTAATGCCCCATGGGAACATCTTGATGGAAAAGTTCTATGATAGACTTAATGGGTAAAGGGGTCAATTTTTGATATCTCACTTCATAAAGTAACTTGTAATAGAAAGAGAACTTCACTTGGATTGATAATCCAGCGATTAAAATCAAATCGGTATACGTAATAAAACTGAATATGCCAGTTGTAGTTTTTTTTAATTTAACATTGTTTTTCAATTGTAAAGTATCTTGTATACAAGAAGCAAAAATAAAAATAAAAAATTGAAGTGTGTTGTATTTTTTTTTTTTTTAGATCTATTCTATTTTTGGCCCCCGTATGGTATCTTCTCAGCCGGTTGGCATGGCTCCCACGTCTCACACAATATCATATGCTGAATATCAACAAATGACTGGGCATCTCTTCAGTAAGTACTTTTCTATATAAAGGTGGTGTAATTACTAATTGTTTATGGCTAGCTATGTAGTATTCTTTTTATACTCTTTTTTTTAAAAAATTAGTATTTTGTTATTATTTCTGCCTTTTATCATGTGATAACTGTTAGTTTGAATTATACTTGTGAAATAATGCTGCATACCAAACCTGGATATTTTAATTATATTTTATTTCAGATATATAAATATAATAGTACTGTCTGTTGTCCATCCATGAAACTACTCACAGTGTGTGGGTGGATTTTCACCAAAATTGGTATGGAGATTTATCAAGTCCATGTGGGGGTACATACAAATTTTCATTTTTGTGTTTTTTATAGTCGTTTTTGCATTTTTTACCACTACTTTGACCCCTGTTGATGTATCTTCACCAAATTTAGCATGCAGAAATACTTGTAAACTTGTTTTTTGGGGGCATTTTTGCTTTTTTTTTTACAATCGGAACTTTTCATGTCCTTAGATAACATTTTATTAATCATAAATTTACTTAACTTCCATCCAGGGGATTGGTACTCCTGCTAATAATTAATAGTTTTTTTTAAACTCCTTACAAAAATATAAAAGTATTGAATATTGTAGCTAAGCATATAAATGTGATAATAGTTTCTAAGGTTATCATATCTTTAAGCATGTACACAAACACCTACATGTACTGTTACAATATTTTTAAAGAATGTTTTGAATTTCCTTACAAGTAGCTTTATTTACAAGGTAAGTGTATTGTTTTCCATCCAAGTATGCTTTCTTTTCTTCGCAGGACACAGTCTTCTTCCATATGTGGTACATAATTAGTTTTTTAAGAAGTTTTCAAATGTTTATAAGATAACTTTAGTTTTTACAGAGATTAATTCTGTGTTTTAGTTTCACCACATATGGGAGCAGCTATGGGCCCTAGTCCTCATGGAGTTCCTCTGAATACTTTACAAAACATGGTACCTCAGCCTTCATCTGGACCCCATTCAGCCTCTTCAACACCACAATCTCAGACTCCTGGCACTCCTCTTCATGCTCCTTCTCCAGTACACCAGCCACCCCCTGCTGGATCCCATGTTACGCCAGCTCAGACTCCAACAGGCCATCCAGGTCCCCCACATACACCACAACCTGTGATTTATAGTCAAATGTTACCCCAGCCTTCCTTACAACATAGACCACACAACCCTAATACGTCTCAAGCACCTCATCCAAACCAAAGCCACCCACCCCCCCATCATTCTAGTTTCTCAGGTACCCCTCACCCCCAGCCTATGATATTTATGCCCCACAACCTTCACACTCCCCATCATTCTATGGCACCTCCAGGACCTCTTGCAATCCACGGACATCCAATCCATGGGCATAATCCAAGAAGTCATGCTGGGACACCTACACATGTAATCCCACACATGCCATTGACTATCTTTCCAACCAGTGGCAATATGGGTCCATCTTCTACCCAAATGGTCAGTGCTTCTGTTATAGGCCATCCACAAGGTAGGCAATTAACTGTTTGTACATAATTCTGTTTTAGATTTCGATATTGAAAATTTTCTAGTTTCCACTTGTATGAAAGTACGTGATTAACAGGTTTATATTTTCATCTGATTCGTCCGTATCACTTACTTTTATAAATGTAATATGTCGTTACTGCATTCTAGTTTTCTCTTAGTTAGCCCAGTCATGTAGTATGAAAGAAGTTCGTAAAAACTGCACATTTGTTTCCAACAAATTGTGTTGGTTATGTAGAGTGTAACTGTTTTAAGCTTTCATCCAACTGGTAATTAAACAAATTGAATCATTATTCAGGTGGTGGACTTTTGATTTATTTACCTTTTTACTATTGTTTAAAAGTAACTGTGTCACGGATTTGTGGTTCTCAGTCTTAGCTTGATTCAGAATAGAAATTCCCATGAAAAGACTTTTTTTTTTTGGTTAACTCACTTTGTTTTGTTTTTTTAAGGATCCAACCAGGGACACCATACCCCAGGACAAGCTTATCTACATAGCCACTAGTAGTCAAAGTAAGGTAGGTAGGAGATAAGGGTACAAGAATTGTTCGATAAATTAGTGTGATGTTAATCTGTATTTTCTTTCGTACATTGCTGTATTCCATTCACCTGCCATAATTTAGCTTTACATTACAAACAATGAAATATTTGGTAGCAGAAATAAAGGATAAAGATGGACTACACTTTTTAAACAAAGCAAACGTATATTTCCACCGATTGATCTTAAGTTTATTATTGAGGAAATGTAAAATGCTGAACTGGACTTTGTACTTAGTATTATTTCCAAGACTTGTGCTATCTATGTTTTATCCCAAAGTTTAGCCAATTAATCTCGTCATTTTAAAAATATAGATACCAATAATACTGAAAATTAATTATTTTGAATTTCCAAGTCTTTGTCAATTCAGAAGTACTGTATGAATTATTTGTATGTACTGACTTAAGACTAAATTCAAATGTTTTTTTGTGGAATATATCTTCCCATTTTTTTCCAAGCTGCTGACATTTAATGTACTTCTCCCCGTCCCACCAAACATGCTTGCCCTTTCAGCCGTGGTGGGGTTATAATGTGACGGTCAATCCCACTAATTGTTGGTAAAAGAGTTGCCCAAGAGTTGGTGATGGGTAGTGATGACTAGCTGCCTTCCATCTAGTCTTTCACTGCTAAATTAAGGACGGATAGCGCAGATAGCCCTTGTGTAGCTTTACACAAAATTCCAAAGCAAACAACAACAAAAATCGAAATTCAATAAAGAAACAATAATGTACCTCAACTGTTCTGTATGCCATAATATTACAGTTCATACTGGTTTAGTATTATGATTAAAGATTGGAAAGGTAGTAGTTTCGGTCAGGTATTCGATCTCTGGCTCCTGATATTTTTGGATTGGATTGTAATTGTGGCCATACATATTGAAAATGTGTTGAGATATCACTTCATTATAGTATAGGATTAAAACTAGTTACGTTCTTATTGGGTTTTTTTGGGGACTTAATGAGGACATGTATGTAGATGTTTAGTTCCATATAAGTGAACAACCATTGCATGTCCTTTAAGGAAATTTGGAACGTGGTGACATGAGACAGTGCCACCCCCCCCTTTAATTTGCCTCCTATCTCTGATATAGACTTTAGATTCTGGAGAAAAAAAAAATTGATTTATTGTTTCATCAGGCAAAGTAATTGTAATATGAAACAAAAAAGTACATATTGAAATCAATGTTCACATGTCTTGATCATCAGGTCATGAACAAAGCTGCCGGGACCCATGAAAAAAAAAAGATCGGTCGTATTTTATTCTTGGATAAATAAATAGTGTAATCTCTGACTTTATGAAACATTTATACATTACTATTGTATTTGTATATCCTTTTTGCAGTTCTGGAAGATAATGTATTAATATTTTTGTAAGCTATTAAAAATGTGTTTTACTTTTATTTCAGGTACCGTTATAAAAGAAAATACCCTGTACAGTACTACGGAAAGAAACATTGACCTCTTCTGAATGAAAAGTTTAACCAGCACTATCTGCATTTTAAAGTTATTTCGAGTAGGATAATCATATGTACTACAATGAAGACCTGAGAATAGTTAGAAATAAACAAGTTAAGCACCCAGAAATGCTATCAATCATGCGACTTCTCTGGAAGATTAACTGTCATATTGACTCTTTTTATTTAAATAAAACTGAAAATGTACATTACAAACTTTAGAGAATTAAAAAGTTGACCCCTCTGGGGAATTCGTTATGTAGCAAGATTTCTGACAAATAAAAGTATCTCCACACACATTGGGTAGTTGAACTTTTAACTTAGATAATGTGATAATGCTGTGTATGGTGGTGTTATTACATTGTAATAACACTGTTATGATTAGTCCATAGCAGCTTCCCTGTGAAGTAACATTTTACTACAGTACAGGAAGAGATTGTATCCTAGGTTCAAGCCACAGTATGCTACTGAACATCACTCCACACTTTTGGCCGTAGTAGAAATAAAGCTGTAAAATTCAGTTAAAAGTTGCTGTCTAAAATATAGGTTCTACAAATTGGCTTCCTTCCCCCTGTGGTTAAGTGATATAAGGTTCTACAAATTGGCTTCCTTCCCCCTGTGATTAAGTGATATATCTGTCCTGCAGCCAGCTGTTCTTTTGTTACAGTAACATGTATCTTAAAGTGAAGCCAGTTTTTGTGTTCATCATAATGAGTTAGTGCAGCTGATACAATGAGTTAAAAAATCCAAGATTGTTGAAAGTTCTACCATCTGTCCTGCAGCCAGCTGTTCTTTTTTTACAGTAACATGTATCTTAAAGTGAAGCCAGTTTTTGTGTTCATCATAATGAGTTAGTGCAGCTGATACAATGAGTTAAAAAAGCCAAGATTGTTGAAAGTTCTACCATCTGTCCTGCAGCCAGCTGTTCTTTTGTTACAGTAACATGTATCTTAAAGTGAAGCCAGTTTTTGTGTTCATCATAATGAGTTAGTGATGCAATGAGTTAAAAAAGCCAAGATTGTTGAATATGAAATGTATCTTGAAATTCACCTACTTGACTGATGATATCCTAATGTATATATATATATTTTTTTTTTTCTTGTGACTATAAACAGATTTCTTCACTTTTATGTAGCGTATGAAAAGTTGAGTTTGTGCAACATTACACTCTCTGGATTCTGCCCATTAAAGAATGTAATTATAAAAGAAAAATGTTCAATCTCTGTTAAATACCAAAATTGTAATAAAGTTAATAACAAACGAACATCTGTTGAAAAAAGATACAGAAATTGTCAGTATCTTTATCATGAAGAAAGAGTTGCTATAAATGAGTAGACAAACCAAAGTATTTATGGTAACGGTAGAAATTTCAACAATCTTGGCTTTTTTAACTCATTGTATCAGCTGCACTAACTCATTATGATGAACACAAAAACTGGCTTCACTTTAAGATACATGTTACTGTAACAAAAGAACAGCTGACTGCAGGACAAATGGTAGAACTTTCAACAATCTTTGTATCCATAACTGAGCTTATATAAACTAAGGTTATACATTATTTAATGGTAACTTCAATAGCAATGTGTATACCAACTAACATCTCAAGTCTATGAATTTAGTGGTTTAAAATCACTTAAGTATCCCGTGAACATTACAAGTAGTATGACTTTATGGCAAGCTTACGACAGAAATATGAGAACACACCCTTTACATTATCATAATTACTGATATTTTTAATATTAATACTAAAACACTGTTTTTATAAAAGTATTCAGAAACACGTCTTACTAGTATTCAAAAACACGTCTCACTAGTATTCAGAAACACGTCTCACTAGTATTCAGAAACATGTCTTACTAGTATTCAGAAACATGTCTTACTAGTATTCAGAAACATGTCTCACTAGTATTCAGAAACACGTCTCACTAGTATCCAGAAACATGTCTTACTAGTATTCAGAAACATGTCTCACTAGTATTCAGAAACATGTCTCACTAGTATTCAGAAACACGTCTTACTAGTATCCAAAAACACGTCTTACTAGTATTCAAAAACACGTCTTACTAGTATTCAGAAACACTTCTTACTAGTATCCAGAAACACGTCTCACTAGTATCCAGAAACACGTCTTACTAGTATTCAAAAACACGTCTTACTAGTATTCAAAAACACGTCTTACTAGTATTCAAAAACACGTCTTACTAGTATTCAGAAACACTTCTTACTAGTACTGAATACTAGTAAGACGTGTTTCTGAATACTAGTAAGACGTGTTTCTGAATACTAGTAAGACGTGTTTTTGAATACTAGTAAGCGTGTTTCTGAATACTAGTAAGCGTGTTTCTGAATACTAGTAAGACGTGTTTCTGAATACTAGTAAGACGTGTTTTTGAATACTAGTAAGACGTGTTTCTGGATACTAGTGAGACGTGTTTCTGGAGGTGGTTAGGGCACTTTACTCGCAATCTGAGTGTTAGTAAAGTATTATTGACACATAGAATAATTACAGTATTAAAATTGAGATGTTTTGTTGAAGTGATTTAATTTTCTGTTGTTGCTTCTTTTTTTTTTTCACAGGACGAGATGAACAATTAGCAGAATTTAAAAGGTTTAGTTCCGATTTCAGGGTGAGTTTTTAGCTGTTTGATTTTACTTTTAGTACAGTACAAATGTGTTTTTTTTTCTGTAGTGTTTTTTTTATTCTTTTCAGTAGAATTTTATATAGTCCTGATATAAACATTCAGAAGTTAAATCACTGAATAGAAATTGTACTACTGGCAATACTAGTAAGACATGTTTCTGAATACTAGTAAGACGTGTTTGGGCCATGCCAAGCCAATCCTTTACCCTTTACTGCGCATGACACAAGGTTTTAGTGTCTTTCATTCAAAATTTTATTAAACTACTTTTTGTTTATGTTATGCCAATTAGAATAGCACAAACTCTTAGCTAATAATTCATATTTTAATACTATACAAGTTTTTAATTCTACAAGGAAATATATAAAAAAAATCCTGAATTTCCACTAGTGTGACCCATTTTGTCTTAGCATGTCATCATCTCTATTTTATCCATCACCCCTCGAAAATGTACAAAATTAAGCATAAACTACTCTCTATAAAATCATATTTGCTCAAACAGACCATAATTTTTATGGCCTTCAATTTTGTTTGGTTACAGAGCTATGAAACAGAAAATCAGATCCCCTCCTGCCACATCCTCTCTATCACAATTGGTTAATATTTCTCTCTTATGTTTCATTATACATTACCTATAACCAATAGAAAGTCAAGGTTTTCATCTATCAAATGATGTATTGTATAATGTTGTGTTTTGAACAGATAATCATCAATTTCACTCGAAGTAGCAACATTGTTCCCGTGGGAAAGTTAACGACTAGCTTGGATGAATTTGTAACGGTTCTTGTTGCATAGTTAGAAAGCCAGGAAACTTTCGAGAGGTAAGTGAATTTGTCTACTTTTTGCATGTTATTAGTCCATATTTTTTATTTAATTAAATAAAAATAGTTAAGTGCTTTACTATAATGACTATAAAAAATCAGGCTTAACTCTCCTCGACAATCAAGGGCAAGAAAAAAGAAGATTGGGTAAGTACTTTATTTCTTGTTTTTCATATTTATTCTGTATTTATTATTATAAAAGTAACTAAAATCAAAAGAGCAAATCTTCTTAAGTTATTTAAGACTAGATTAGGTAAAATGAGTAATAATAATAATAATATAATTAAAATGGTT